CATAATTCATAATATCTTTATTATATCTTATCTTGGCCAAATATTATATATAAAGCTATTAACCTATCACAAAATAACCTTTTCAAGGGGTACCAAAAATGATAACAATATTCTTTTATAAAATAATTTATAATAATAATGATATAAGTATTATTATTTTTTATTAATAAAAGTGATCTAATAAAGTTAATATCATTGTAATATGAATTTTTATTATTTATTATTTACTTGATCAATTTAAATCACAATCTTATTAGATAATTATTTAATTATATTTTATTGGATACTAGTTTAAGAAAATATTATTCATAAATATTTATAGAAGATTTACAAGTATAAAAGTTATAATAAAGCTATCCTAACAAAATTAGCAAAATTATTATATCCATAGAATATCCATTTCTACCCACAGAAATGTAAAAACACCTGCTGGTAATATTTTTTTTGATGTGAATGTGTAACTTCTGTGATATTAGCGAGAAGCTATATAGTGTGTGCGACTTAAATAATTTGTGACCACCATAATTTTCGGCCAAAATGTTTATTAATTTCATACGAAATATTAAATTTTGCTGTTCTGTTAGATCCTTCGTTGAAAAAAAATTCTACGTTTTCATACAAATAGCATTCCATAAGTGATTTCGTTAATATCATTGAAAACGCATAATGTCCCCTCCTTACTAAAAAAAAAGGTTTCTCAGCTTCCCACTTCGCAACGCAATTGTTTCTTACGATTTTAGGAGGTTTAATCTTCCAATTTGCGTGTTTGCTTTCATAAACCAATTATTTGACATGTACCTTCACGAAAATTTATGCGTCAAAAAATCCTATCAAAATAAGAGATTTTATTAATATACAAAAATATATAAAAAAGAGATTTAGAAAGTAATCCTACATAAGTCATGAAAATTATTGCATTTGACGGAACTGCGCGTGCCATGGTAATTCCACATCCGCGATAGAACCCTGGAATTCCCCAAGTTTTATAAATATACTTTCCAGCCTGAAAGAACGAACTTTTTACATATCTTTTTTCGATATCCTTCTCAGTCTGCATTACACTTTTTATCGAATCAGCGGGAAATGATGAAACATTATACCCAATCCCAGCCAAAGCACCAGCAGTCATTGAATGCAGTGGATTCAAATCTGATTTTGTAATAACTACATCTTCATGAATAGAACCTAATAATCTACTCTGTTTATACCGAATAAAAAGTTGTGTTACGTATTCATAAGTGCCGAACCAAACACCAGATCCAATTGATTCACGAAGTATCGTTGGAAATATCCCTCGAAAAAATCCGCGTATACCATTTTCTTTTAACGTGTGTTGAATTGCGGACATTGGGCTATCGAAACTAGGGGGATTTGTGTTTTGTGGTGGTGTTTTCGTTTTTAAGGTAGCTGAAATCAGATTCGGATGCCGTAAAGATGACGATGAGGTTCTTTGAATGCCAGCATAATTACTGTTATTATTCATAATATTATTGCTTCCAATGTGAGAAATATTTTTGATGATTATATTATTTGAGGATGGCAAAGTATTGTAATTGAGCGAATTTTGCACTTGCAATTTACATTTTATCAATTCTATAGGCGTCAATAAAAAAGATGCTAATGTACCCGCAATTGCGCCAGCCAAAAATAATTCGCGTATTTCGAGTGGTGATTTCTCTAAACCTATTTCATGAATCAAGTGACGCTCGTGTTTTGGAGTCCTGTATTCTCGGATCATCATTTGTATGTAGTTGTAAGAGGTGAATAACACGGCGTTTTCTACCATGGCGCCTACCATTGGCGCCGAAAGACCCTTTAAAATTTATTTTACAATAATGAAAAGTTGGGTTTTTAACATGTAAGAAGTTAATGATAATAACACTACCAACCCTATAAAATCCTAGAAACCCTTCATGTCGAAACGTTTGTCGAAAACAGTCTAGTGGACCTTTGAAAATTGGCTGAGTTTGTAATCGCACTTTTACAGTATCAAATGGATATTCTACTAATTTTCCTGTCATTCCCGAGACCTAGTTGTTTTTCATACAAGTATATACACGCATACATGCATCAGAGTAAAAGTAAAAAACCTGGAATTAATGCGCCAATTTCAATTTAACTTTTTGTGACTAATATAACAAAAAGAAATTATTTAAAGAGACGAAATACTACCGAACCAAACACTAAATCATTTTGTGCATTTTGAATTGTGGTGGTTTGTTCGGAAGTCAAGGTAAGTTCTGGTTCTTGATTTGTTGCATCAAGTATTGGCAATGTAGAAGAAATGTTTTGTTCTGCTGAGGTAAATTCTATGGACATTTTGAATTATTATTATTGTTAAATTGAATAGTTTAGGGTGCGAACATATATAGATATGTGTTGGATACGATAAGAGAAGATAAATAGATGGGATAATCTTAAAATGATTTACCATCTTAATCTAATCGATGGAGGACGAAAGACCTATTCGACCACAGGTAGTTGATGGTCCACAAATTGGCAAGTCTGCTGGGAACTTTTTTCAGACAGACCATGATTTATTAGTTCAAGAAAGACGAGCTGCGAAACGTGATAACAAAGCGGGCGAACCTATTGAAATTACCTCAAAGGTTCTGTGTTTATTGCCCGCTGAGGATGAAAAAAATACGTTGGAACATGTGTATGTGGGGGAGTCGGGGTTTTTAGCTAGAAAAATAAATATATCGGTATGTTTATACTATATTGCTCTTTCTATGATAGGGGCGAGTATCTTGGGCTCGGAAGGGAGTGAGATTTATTTGTGTCGTTTTTGGTTAAGACAGGAAAAACCGTTAAATCGTTTAAAGGGCACACTGGTCCCGTTACTTGTCTTGGTCTATGGCATAAAAATGGTGAAGAATATTTAATCACAGGATCATGGGATAAAACTCTGATAAAATGGAATACCAAGGTAATAATAATCAAATTAAACTAAAAAATTTTTTGCTTATATAAAACATTCAATAAATTAAATCAAACACTTGTTGTGTTTTCTATAGACAAAAGAACAGTCAAAAATCTTTACAAAGCACACAGATTTTGTAAAATCACTAACAATAGCACATACCACCGGCACACTATACTCTGGATCATCAGACAGACTAATACTCAGCTGGAACCTCAACGATGGCGACCTTCTACCCGTCATCATGAAAGGACACACACGCGGTGTCGAAGACCTCGTACTTGATGAATCGGAAACGTACTTGTATTCTGCGTCTTCGGATAGTCATATACGAAAATGGAACCCTACAACTGGAGAATGCTTGCAAATATTTGAGGATCATTTGACGAGTGTTTATTTTTTACGTTTGTTTGATGAGGTTATGTGGTCTGGTGAGTTTTCTTGGGTTATTAACTGCGCTTATTTTTTATACTTCGAAAAGAATAACGGCTCACAATTAATTCTATATTTGATTATGAAATGATGAAAATGTAAGCTTCTGCTGATAAGACTGTCAAAAGATGGGATTTAGATGTATGTACTGCATCAGACTTTAATTTTCTTGTATAGAACGCGTATGAATCTCTATTTAAATCGAAAATTCACATGTTCCATTTATTTAAGACTGGTAAAGTAGATACTACATTCCCTCACCCTGATTTTGTCAAATGTTTGGCAGTATTAGGACCATACTTAATAACGGGAGGACGTGACGAAGTTATTCGTGTTTTTGATATTGGGGTTCGTTATCTCTTAGAATTCTAAATAATATTACGCGCGTATATATACAGTCGCACTCCTCTAAATGCATATTTGTTTAGTTAATTTGTTTATATGGGATTTATATGCTTATTGCGTATTTTAAAAATATTATACTATGGTCCTGATGGCGAGGAGTGCGACTGGATATATATCATTGTGGAACAATGTTGCAGATTTATATAAAAATATGGACCAACCTACCTGCCAACATTGTTGTGGCATGTGTTTTATTTATATAGAATTGCTAACACTTCATGAAAACATAGACTGGAAAAACCATAAAGGAGATAGAAGGCCACTTTGACGAAGTGTCTTGTATGGCAATACGGGGAACAATGGTGTATACTGGGTCTCTGGATTGTACTGTTCGGCGATGGTCTGTCACTGGTATGTAGTAATATTTGATGATATTTTATAAAGCATTTTAATTTATTCATTTTAAAATTATAGCAAAAGATCTCATTCAATCGAATGATGCCGAAAAATCAAAATCGGAATACAAATCATCGTCGCTTTCAACCACAGCTACAAAAACGAAGCCGGACTTCTCATTGTTAACCGAAGAGGAGGAGAAGGAATTGGCTGAATTAATGGAAAGCGATGACGAGTAATAATAATTAAGAATATTAAATGTATTATTATAATTTAAATTTACCCGATAGAAAAAAATATAAAATTAACAACAAAAGATCACAAGTAATAAAACATTTCCTATCAAAAAATTTTTTTTTACCCTGCCCACTCTTTAATTTAACTACCAGTATGACTAAAGTATCTAAATAGTTAACAAGTTGAAAATATTCAAGTAATTTATATTCAAGTTGGATAATCAGATAAAAGTAAACCAGATAGTTATTTTAGTGATGATATTTTATATTCTTTCTTCTCTTGTTATTTTCTAAGTTGATTCTGGTTGAAAGTATCTAGATAATAAATTTATATTAGAATGAATTTGGTCTTTACAGTATTTAATTTTGAATTTATAATCTTTTAAAGTTATAATTCAGCATACTAATTTATCAGAAATCTTAGATTTATTAAACAAACTTTTCAAAATATTATAATTAGTTATCAGAGTGAAAGAAATATTTAAATATAAGTAAGATATTTAATTAAATAATCATAAATATAATATAAATAATATTATTTAAAATAAAAGAAATATATAAAATATTAAATAAAATAATAATCATCTAAATTAATAATTATAAAATATTATTTTATTAATTTTAATAAGATAATATTAATATTAAATTGATTGGTTAATATTAATAATAGAGAAATTCCAAAATAATAAGAAATATTTTGAATTATAAATATAAATAAATTATTATATATTATTTTATATTTAATTTTAATAATAACTTTTTCTAAAATATTTGATAATTTAATATTAATAAAAAGTATACTATAACTAAAAATCTTTTATAAATTTTTTAATTTTATATTATTTAAGATAGATATTATCAGAATTAATTTTATAAAGTAATAATCAAATTTTAATGATATATTAATTAATTAGTTTATTTATATCTTAAATATAAATATTTAATTATTATTTTAAAATAATATTTAAATCTATATTAAGAATTTTTTTAGAAAATAAGCTTTAAAAATTAATTAATATTTTAATTATTAAAATAATAAATTAACTAATTAATAATTATTTAAGTTTTTTATTAATATAATAACTAATAATATTATAAAGTTAAAATATTATAATTCTTACTTTTTTAATATTATTTATTTAAATTCTTTTAGTCAAATAATAAAATTTTTATAATAATTATTATTAAAATTTTAATTACTAATTAAATTAGTTAAGTTTTTAAGTATATTAATTAATTTATTATTTGATAATATATTTATTATTATTAATAATAAATATTATAATAAGGATAATATTATTAGTAAAATATTTAAAATTATTATAATTTAAACTTTTTTTCTAAATTAAAATTTAAATTATTAATATATTTAAAACTTAAAAAATAATTAAAAAAGTTTTATATATTTTATTTAAGATTTTGAATAATTAAATATTAATTATTTAACTATTATATGAATTAATACAAAAATATTTGTATCTCAGATAAATATTAATAGATTATTTTTTCAAAATAAAAGTTTAATTCTATTTTATTTAATTAAGTTATTAAATATAGAGATTTATTTAAATGTAAAAATTTTTATTATATATATTTTATAAAAAATTTTTACTAATAATAACTTTTTTTAATTATTATTTCTTAAATTTTATTATATAAAATTTGATTAAATTAATATGATTCAGTATAAAAAGATTGATATATCAAATAAATATTAATAAATTATTTTTTCAAAATAAAATTTTTAATTCTGTCTTATTT